ATATTTTGTTTCTTTCTCTTTCTCTCTCTCTCTCTCTTTCTTTTTATAACAGGAAAATTAGAATTTTCTTCCTGCTTGGCATAATTTCCATTTTCAAGCCTCAGGCTCTGCAATAATTTAAAATAGTAATGACAGTAAAGGGATTGCAGGATAGCTTATTTTACTGTTTATACTTGTAAACTAGTAATAAATTTCTAAGAATTTATTTAATTGTCTTATTCTGTTTAGAGTTAATATCATCATTATTGATCTTATTGTTTATTCTGTAGACTTCATTACTGTGATCAGAGTCGTACTGGTCTTAGCTCTGTACAGAAAGTGATGGTCTCTGCCCCAGAAAACAAGCAGTCTTTTTTAAAGAATGTGACATGAGAAAATAAACAAGGGCAAATCGTTTGCCCAAGATCAGCACAGAAATCTCTCATTTTTTGCTTAAATAGACTGTGCTGCTGTGGTGTCTGCTAGTGACTAGTGGATAGAGCTGAGAGACAGTAAGTATGGCAAACTGAAAGCAAAATAAGAACTGCAAGAAGAGGTTGCATCCAGTAGAGCAGTATTCAGTGTTTCTATTTCTAAGGCAGGACTTAGGAATAGGCAAACAATTTAGTGTTTGTTTTGTCCCAGTGGAGGAGAAAATAACTGGTTACCCTAAAAAGATGCACAGCCCTTGTGACCTTTTCCCACTTCCTGCAGCAGCACTGCGGCTGTCTGGTCCGATGCCCTGATGGAAGAGCTGGCATGTTATCCCTGATTTCTCAAGTTTGGCAATGGCTTGGCACAAGCATAGCTTGTTTGTTCAGTACTGGCTATTAAACATGATTCACAACATCAGCCTACAGAAAGTAGGACTATGTGATGAGCACTCTTCTGGATCAGGTTGCTGTTCTCTGTGGTGCTCAGAGAAGCTGCTCTGTGGAAGCACTTCTGTGCTTCCACGTTAGCCTGAACCCTGCCACAGGAGACTGCTGGGCTGGTGCCCAGTGACAGAACAAGAGGCAATGGATACAAACTGGAACATAGGAAGTTCCATCTGAACACGAGGAAGGATGTCATTACTGTGAGGGTGACAGAGTACTGGAACAGGCTGCTCAAAGAGGCCGTGGACTCTTCTCTAGAGATATTCAGAACCACCTGGACACTTTTCTGTACAACCTGCTGTAGGGAACCTGCTTTAGCAGAGGAGTTGTGCTGGATGATTTCCAGAGGTCCCTTCTAACCCCTACAACTCTGTGATTCTGCGAGTATCTAATGGATGAGCTTTCTCAGCCTGCTGAGAAAATTGCTTAGGTCAGCAAGAAATATGGGCAATCTTCTGCCACCTGCACCTTGACATATTGAAGGAGAAGGAGCTGAGTGAGCTACAGAATAAAGGTAGCCATCTGCTCCTTGACACAGCAAGGCCAAAAAAAAACTTGCTAAGATAAGAGAGTATTTCAGATTCCTGAGGTTGTGGAAAGTGGCTTGTTACTTCACCTACTTAGTATCCCTGCCTGCTTCCCCAGCACTGCTTTTCCATGCAGTGCAAGCCTCCTCTCGTTAGCCTGCCACACAGAGGGAGCCTCGTGTTAAGGTGGACAGGCAGAAGGTATTGAGGGAAGAAGGTATTGAGGGAATGGAATGGATTCCAGCGGGAAGAACGGATTCCCAAAACAGAGGTGTGTGTCTCAGGAAGGGTCCAAATGCAATGATGAAGGTGCAGCAGCCAGAAGGGCTGAAGGACAGGAAAACGACATCCTCAGCTCTGGTACCCTCCTCCTCAACCATCCCATTTTGTCCCAGCCTGGTTCTGCTCAGCTCTTCCAGCTACACTTTGTTGCCTCTTCCCTCTACAGAAACTCCCTGTGTTCTTTGTAATCTCTTCCTCAAAATCTGCTCCATGTTTGCAGCCACATTCACAAGAGCATAGCCAAAACAAGTTACTCAATTTTGTCTATGCTTCCGTATCTGTTACTGCATCAGAAGGCCCTAATCTTTCCTAAGATATGCTTAAAAACTCAGCGTAACTAATGAATAATTACAGTTGCATTTTGATTTTGAATGATTCACTTTGACTAGCAGTCAGAGAGGTTACCTGTTTCCTGAGATTACAGTCAGTCTCATGGTGTGTACGTTAATGTTTTGAGGATGTCTGCTGATACTTGCTGTTAGGGTTAGGTAACGTGTAAGCTGCATTACAGCTGAGACTGTTAGTTCTGTTTGTAACTCAAGTAAATGACAGAAATGTTTGGCCCAGAATAGTGCTTTGAAAAGTTCAGGTATGTGAAGTGAATTCCCCATTATTCTCAATATACTGCTCCTCAATATGCTGCTTATGGTCTAGTAGTTTCAGTGTGGTGAAAACAGACACACCTAATGACATTTGGGAAGGAGTAGGATGAAATAAACAATCTCTCACCCTGGACATCTCTATAGGGTAAGAAAGGTAGAGTTTAGTAATGGGCATAACAACTCTGGACTGTCCAGAGGCTGCTGTCAGCTCCAAATCCTCCTATGCCCATTGCAGAGGCTGGATAGAATGAACACCAAAGTGACATTTAGCTATGGGCACAAGAATATCTTGCTACAGCTTTGGGTAAAATTGACACTGATCAGCATGTGAAGTTAATTTGACTTAGCTCATAATTTGCAAGATGTGCTTTGATCAAATGATGAATTTTAGTTTCAGGAGGTTGTAATACATCTTCATTGTTTGGGCTAAAGCTTTGCTCTGGAAGTCATGTTGGTATCAGCAGGTGCTTCTGAGATAAGAGACTGAGGCCGCACTGTGCAAAGAAGGGATACCCCTAAGGATGGGCTCTCCAACCACTCTCACCCTAGCTGGTTTGATTTTGATTGATTGGCATGATTTTATTATCACTCAACAGAGACTCTTTCCAGGGATCTTTTGAACTCCAGGTCCATCAAGCTGGAGGAATATCTTTGGTGACAAAACTGGGTCAAATAAATACCGAATGCACCCACAGAAGGATGTCTGTGCTTATGGCTGCAGCTTGCTGTTCCCTCTGTGTGTTCTTGTGGGCCTGTTAGAAGAGCCACATTAAAATCCTTCATTGCCCTTAAAAGATATTTGTTAATACAGTTAAGCTTATCAAGCTGTATGAAGAGCTGTGTTACAACTAGCTGTGGTGCTGCAAATAAGGACGACAAACTGTGGCAAAAATCAGCACATGGATGGGATCTCTAAAGGGTCCAGACTGCATATGATAATTCACATCCTCAAACCAGTTCAGTGTAAAGATAATCACCTTAATGAAAGTGACCTGAGCTTAGACGGGAGCCCTGACTTCAGGGAGTACTGTCAATTGCATTGGCAGTATGAATTCTTTTTAAGGTGAGATTCAAACATTTCTGCCCTGAGATGAAGCCAATGATGTAATTGTGTTCTAATTCCTTACTTAAGCCCCATCAACAACCTACTCCTCCATAAGTGTTTTCCTCAACACAAAAGTGCATTGTGTAAAACCGCAAACACTCCTTTGTGGCTTTAATTTTCATTCACAGTGTTCTGTGATATTTTTTTCAGAGTGCATAATAAGAGGTTGTCAGATACAATTCATTTTTATTTTCAAGGCATCATTATTTCCTGCGTTTCCCATTGGAGCATTGACTGTCTGCAGGATAAAGGGTACTCTCAAGAGTTTTAAGAGTATTTGTTGTTTCCTCAGTTTATGCATTAGTTCAGCCAGGCTAATGCACTGTAATATCCAGACAAGTCCTGTAATTGGAGATAGTTTGAAACAAGCTTTTAGCTACTCATGTGCTCCGGCTCTAAGTTAATTTCACATCTAAGCTATTAGGGAGAACAACAGCAACAAATACTGCCAATATGAAACAGGCCACTGTTCATTAAAGACCTCTTGAAAATCAGGTTATTTACAGAGACGAGTGTGTGTGTGCTCTTTATCAAAAGTTTGAGACTAATCGTTTTGCATTTTGTAAAATGTGTGCTGGGTCTGAAATGTCAAAATCAGTGGTATCTCTGGCAGACCCTTTTTTTTTTAGTGCTCATGCAAGTACTTGAACAAGAATCTGGTAACTTGCATTCTAGTCTATTCTGTATGAGCACAGAAGAGTAAGGTTTCTTGTGGGGATCTGCAATGTGTTCTGAGTCTTGTTAGGAAAGAAAATGGAGCTTCACTGGGACTGTTTCTTGAATTCTTCCTTGCTCTCTGACTGGAACAGCTTAAATATTTAGATACTGTAGAAATGAGAAGGGAGAAAGTGGATCAAGATCTGTGTACTTCCTAGCCTTCTCCAATCGTTTTACCCCTTTTCGTGTATGAGGGGGAGTGACTTGCTAGAGATCTTGCTTTCCTTCTTCCCGTTGTTCTCTACAATGACTAACACCATCCGAGCTTCTACAAAAAACATTACCTGTCTCCCCACCAAAACCAGTTACAAAAATCTATGATGTATTTCTGCGGCTAGTCACGGCTTGCAAGGGAAAGTCGCTGCTGTTCATGCAGGGAAACAAGCAGCCTTCTTTCTAGGAAAATACAAAGGTGGCAGACGTGCTAGCATGTCCCAAGCAATCTGCTGACTCTGATCTCACACCTGTTTTACACTTTAGAGAAAAATCCATGTAACATGCCTGCTTAGTTATGAGGGGGATTAGGTTCTGATGATCTGTTTGTAATACAAAGCAAGTGAGAGCTTCTGGAGCTTCTGTAGACATGTTATCTAATTGTCATAGAAATTTTTGTCTGGGAATTTTCTATTTGTCTGTGTGTTTTGTTGATTTTACTTTACCTTGTACTGCTTCCTCTACTTAAGAGTGCTTCAGATAATGCTAACACCTTCCAGTCTGACCAACACTCCATGTGTTCATACACAGAAATACTTTACCAGTTACCTAGAGGTAACCACCGTTAACAGTTCTATCAATTAATATATTTGCAGATTTGAAATATTATATTTGTCTATGTTCACTGATGTGGGCTCATTTTTAAATAGGTCTGATTTCATTATTTTGTATACATTTTGGTTTCATGTTCTTCCAGGCTTCAGACTTGATTATCACCCCAGCTACGACTTTCAAGGAAAAACCAGAGCCCAGTGGTTTGGTATTTGGAACTGTGTTCACTGATAATATGCTGACAATTGAATGGTCCTCAGCTTCAGGATGGGAGAAACCTTGTATTAGACCACTTCAGAACCTCTCCTTGCATCCAGCCTGTTCATCTCTGCATTATGCTACTGAAGTGAGTACTGAGACCTCTTGGAAACCTCTATTTTGTTTCATTAGCTTCTGAAACCATCGCTTTGTAATACACGGGACAGTTAATCCCTTAGTATCCAGGTACGTTTTGAGCTGTTAGCTGATGTCCTTCCAGAATATTTCCTTATTTATGATAGGATTATGTTTATGTTGATAAAATTCAGATTTGGCTCTGGTGTGTGGGTTCCAGCTCACTTAATTTCATAGCTTACTTGAAGGTGAGCACTTTCTTACATGGTGTCGAATTCATTTGACAAGGCATTCGACCTCACTGTCAGAGGATCAGTCTAGCTGCTGTCACTGATGTAACTTAGTGAAACCCTGGATAAAACTGTTGAGATTCTAAGAGCAGCTTTAATTTGGGGACTGAATGTGCATTTTGTGAAGCTTATTTTAAGCTGTTTTGAAGGTTCATGGCTTGGATTGTAGAATAGACTATACAGATGCTTGTTTCCAAACAGGTCTGGAGAGCTCCAGACAAGATCTGAGGCATTCAGCATATCCAGCTATATTCAAGCAGAAAATATTCAACAAGGGACTTTGGAAAATGAAATGTTGACTCGGAAACCAGCGTGGTTAATAGTTTCCATGCTTAGCTGCTTACTGTCTAAAGCTGCCTTTTGTGTCTCCGGAGCAGCTTCGGCTATACTCACATCTTGTGAGAGCCTTGCAAGGATACACTGACCTACATGTGAGCATAGAGTAGAAATGGAAGCCTGCTTCTTCTTCCACCTATGAGTAGGTGGGAGTCTGATGTTAGTGGAAGTTCTTATGCATCTTTATTATTTTCTCTTTCTTTTTTTTTTTTTAATTGTTATTATTTTTTTTAAACCGGTAATGGAAGGGAAGGATCAAGCATTTCCCTTCTTTCCCTTCTTGTTTGAGCTCCTACCTTCACTGTTTTTTGTGTTTGCTGTTTTTTCCCACCTAGTCACCAAGTCTCCAAAAGTCTTATGTCAATTATAATAGGCATTAATAGCATTAATGCTGCAGCTCTTGATCTGCCCAAGGAGCAAGAAACCACGCTGGAGTCCCAAATCTATATTTCACTCTTAGTAGCATATTACTTTAATGCTTGGCCTCTGGCCCAGTTTGAAATCATTGCTAATATGAATATGCTCTTATTTTTTTCCATTTTTTTATTCTTTTACCCTTACTGCATCACGTTTCCTCTAGACAAGAGGACAGACAGAGGAGAATCTGGTGCCAATGCTGTGGCTCAATGAATACGCAGTGGGTATAATAAAAATGATGAATTTGGCATTCCCTCCCCTTTTTCCTTGCCCTTCATGACGCAGTGTGATAGACTGGATCTGCTGAACTTCAGATCCAGCTCCTGTGATGTACAGATGTCAGACAGTATTGTTTGCACACAACTGTAGTAACTAACCATCAAGCAACTGTAACAGTTGCTTTTATTCACGTTAGGCATTTCTGGAGCACATCACTGTCTCCCTTTGTAATGAGCAAGAGGTTTTGCTGAGCTCTGGAAGGTTAAAACTTTTTGGAACAAAAAATTTAACAGCTTGAGAAGACTTTGCGTTTCAGTAATGAAGTAATTCTTATTTCTCTCAAACCATTGATCAAATCTTAGTAGTAACATTCCTTCCTTTTCCCTTTCATTACAAGTTCTATAAATGTCTTTGGAAGAAGGGTGGGGGGAAACAACTGTTCTGTGATAAGAACATGTAGCATTACAGAGATGTGATATTAGCTAATGACACAATAAAAATCATATCCAGGTATCAACCGTTACACCAGCTATGCCATTGCTTACTAAGATAGAGATTTGTTTTATTTTGTTTTATTTTATTATTTTTCTTGTAGCTGCAATCTTAGGAACTGTTTAAATTTCAAAACAATGTACAAAACTTTTAGTAAGGTTGGCATTGAGATAGGAATAAGGTACATATTGAGGACAAAAAGTTCTGGATTCTAATTCTAGTTCTGCTGCATAACTGTATGTACCTAAGGAAAATTGCCAGGATTCCTGCAACCCAGTTACAGCCCAATTAAAATTTGTCATGTGGAAAGACCTAACTCTGTCATGGGACCATACAAAAGTGTTCTGAACACTGCATTTCAGTGGTCCTAATGGGAAAATGTTGTAGAATTTGAAAATAATGAAGCCATGAGTGTTGTATTAAAAAGTACTTATACAAAAATATAGAGTTCTTTTTCCAGAATCAAAAAACTGCATATGCAGTCTTCCAACCATATAGAATGTATTTCGAGCCATTTTGGGGGAAATAAAAGAATAGAAGTGATGCAATTAAATTTATGGAACTTCTAGTGAAATTTACTGTACAAAGAAGTGCTTCAGAAAATAAGCTCTAAAAATCTAAAATCTGTAAGCATGAATGACCCTTCAATCTTAATCTAAATAGTAATTTTACATAATTTGTAATTTTACATAATTATGTAACAGTGTGAAATTATGTAATGCATGGGTGATCTACCTATAACTAAAACTGTAAATTATCAGTCTATAACTGCAAATAACTCTGGATATTCTGTGGGCATTGGGTACCTTTGCTGTTGCTTGGATACACTGTAGAGTATTCTACTGGGAGGGCAGTTTTGGGATGAGTTTCTGGTGAACTTACTGTCAGTGCTAACCATCTACATTCTACAGTTTGAGGGGTTAATTATGTCAAAGTTTCCTTTAAAGTAGAGAAAAAGCATTCACCTGCATTCTTCCTCTAGTACAAAGCTGGTGCACCTATCTCACGTGCTAACTAAACCCCATTCTACAACATAGGGACATATGGGGGAAATAAGTGACCAAGATTTTGCTGCAGCTACACTAAGAACTGCAACAGAACTTTTCTATAGCAAAGAATGTTATTGTACTTCTGCCTTTAGTATCCGTCAAGCTATGAGGGCACAGTTAAGTCAAACACATGCTACAAATTTTAATGGTGGTAACCAAATTACGAGGTTATCAGTAAGTTCCCCGACAGGAGGATGTATGAGAAGCATGGATAGGTCATCTTTTTTATACAAACATCATAATGCTACTTCACAGGAGTGTGTTGCAAAGATTAAGTGGTTAGCATTTATGCTTTGAGTACTGTGAGCAGGAAAGTGAAGTTTGTTCGTTTCCAAAAAGCATGTCTTACTTTTACTCAGGTCATCATGGGATAGCATGCCTCAATTACTATTTGATTTCTTTTCCCTCCTTTTTGGCTTGGTAGTTGTTTGAAGGATTGAAGGCCTACCGTGGAGTGGATGGCAAAATCCGCCTGTTCCGGCCAGGCCTCAACATGGACAGGATGGCACGATCAGCAAGACGAATGACTCTGCCAGTACGTAGCTAAGGCATTGTACTCTCCTTAAGTCGGAGCATATTTTTATTTTCAGATTGCAAATCTCCTAAATTTTATGGTAGCGTAACACTTCTGAACTACACTAACTCTTGAATGGTTCTCTTAAACTTTAAGAGATCCTATTCAGTGAATGGTTTCAAATTATTTTTTCTGTTAAAAACAGTGTTTTCCTTTCTCCATTGTGCCTCAGATAAATACAGTCTTTTTTTCTGAGGGATGACTATTGTTCTGTAGGTACTTGCATGCAGACTACTGATTAAATTGCCTCTGTCATGACTGTTGTTACTTTTCTTTTTATCTTAGTTAAACCCTTTCACATCTGATTGCCTTCTTTTTTGTTCATGCTGGAATTTGATGCTGCTTTTAGAAGTTGTATATTGGCCAATTAATTTCCTCCTACGCTTACTAGCTTTGCAGTAAATTTGTGAGTCTTAGTGTGCCCATTGGAGCCATAACCCAAGGGATTCTGCTTTTTGCAGAAGGGTGGGTTCTGGAGCTCGCAGCGCTCCCTGGGAAGTGAAGGAGTTGGCTGCACAGGGAGTTCTCTCCATGTGCTTCGAAGGCAAGAAGTATCAGTGGCTCCTTTTTTCTACCTCAGGAGGATGCTTTGTAGCATCAGGAGAACATTAAGGATAGTGTATAAAAAGGAACAGAGTCAAAGACAGTGGGGTCTTAAATCTTTTAATAAATTAATTCAAGGAAGGTACTGTGGTCCTGCAAAAACCTATGGGCTGATGAGGTGTTCAACATAACATATGGATCTATCAAGATGACAGTGTTTGGGTTGTATTTCTTAATTAGATTTTTTTTCCTTTCTCTTTTCCTTCCCAGTGCTTTGACCAGAATGAGCTGTTAGAGTGCATCCGGAAACTTGTGGAAGTGGAAAAGGAGTGGGTCCCATACTCAACTGCTGCTAGCCTGTATATCCGCCCTACCTTAATTGGAACTGAGGTTTAAACTTTCTTTTTTTTTTATTTTTAAATTTAGTGTATTTAATCATTAGGCAAAAGCCTTCATCCATATAGGAAAATATACAGCAGTCAGTAGGCAAGAGTATTACAGTCAGGGCACAAATTATTTTATGTTTTTACCTGAGTTAGTCACCTGTAGTGCTCCTTAGCAAATTTATGTTGACCACACCACCACCTAGTGGACATACTGGTTCAGAACACAGAGCAAAGTGTTTGAATCTAAGCAATTACAGTAAAATTTAAATAAACTTCATTTTTATACTAAAAAAAACAAAAGCCTTTTAAATTTTAAATGTTAATATATGCCTTTAAAATACTGGTAGCCTGGGGAATATGTGAGAGAACAGAAATGTGCTCTGTACAGATTTGGAAGATGTTGTACAATAAATTATGATTCTTCTACAAGAAACTCTTAGCAGGATTAACAGTGTTAATTTGTTCTTGAATCCAGATGAAAATGACTTTAGCTGAGACTTCTTAGCAGCTAGATATTAGCATGTGCTCTGTGAGCTGTATGTGAATATAAGTGAAGCGCATGGTATTTATAAAGTTAATTAGAAACAATTTATTTTAATTAAAACTTTACGGTTTTCTTAGTAGAAAGAGAGAAAGCTATAATAGAAGAGTGTAGGAAAAAGCTACTAAAGAATATATGATTTCCAACTAAGCAGGTCATTCTTCTGCAATATCTGTATCTATACATGGCTAGCCTACTTTAGCATTATGCATTTCACACGTGCTTCAGGACTTCATTAATTTAATCTCTGTTAAGTAGTTGCAGATTTTCACATAGATCACCATTCAGCAACTGTATTAATGTTAAAAATTGATATTTTTTTCCTGTTTTGTTTTGGAAGTTCTTTTGCTGTTGAGCATTCTTTCAAGTTAGCCAGCTGGTCTTTCTACAGTGTCATGTTGTCACTGAGTTGAAATACTTTGCTAAATATTTTTCAAATTAACCCAGCTGGGAAAACTAATCGTTATAGCTACTGAATAGTTGCATTAGAATGAGGCAGTTCTCAACTGTTTAATATTTCTCTTGTTAAAACTTTTGTTGGGAGCGTAAGGTGGACAGAAGTCAAAAGCACCCTCTCTACAACTGAGGAAGGCTTATTTGAATTTTCCAGTAGTTCCATGTTTACACTATTATTTCACCTCCCAGACTAGCTTCATGTACTTCGTGCAGAGTATTTGCTTAGTTTTGGTCCTGTTAAATAACATTTTTTGTTTTAGTGGAGACCTAACCTAAGAAACCAAGGATGAGCTTGTAGTTTCCAGGGGACTAGTTCCTCTGAGAGGAGAGAAAATAGTAAGTAGCCCATTTAGCTGCATACAAGATCCCAAGAATTGCATGTAGTGCATGACCTCCAGAAGTTCATTCCAACCTAAGCCATTTTGTAGCCAGGTTAGACTCAGGCATGGGTGTCCAACTTTTTGGCTTGCCTAAGCCACGCTGAGTTGAAGAGGAATTGTCTTGGGCTGCATACAAAATATATAATACAGTTAATGTATGTAAGTAGCAAAACTTCTTTTATTTTTTTATATAACCTGCAACAGGAGTAGAAAACTAAATGGGTTAGACACATGATCTAGAGCTTTGCTAAGAATCATACAGCTAAAGAGAATTTTGACTTTGACCTATGTCAGACTTTACACCTTCATCTTTAAATGTTGATGATGATGATGACCTGAAGTGTGAGAAGCCATCTGCCAGAGGTGGTGCAGAAAGCAGGTTATCTCCTGTCCTGCTGTGTGAACCATTTACAATAGAAAAATCATTTTAGACTCACACTGCACAGAGCCACCACTTGACTCTCCAGCAGTTCCAGTTCTAATAGGTATTGGCTAATTCTCGTCACTAATACAGCTGATTGTGATTTCTCCACTGTTGTTATTGCTAATGGTGATCCTTCCATCTGTCCTCATATGGCTTCACATGCCACTACTCTGATTAATTCATAAAATTACATAGTGGTTTTTTGAGGTAATTTCTGAATTCTTAAATAGGTTCAAGATTAATATATAAATAAATAAAAAAGCCATAAGTGAATGGTGACAGCATGTAAAATTAGGGCTATATTACTTCGACTGGGAAGGAATTTAGGTAAATATTTCCTCTTCATTGCAGAACTTCACGTTGTTCTGGTAAAAGCACTCCCTGTTGTGGTTCACTGAAAGTGTTTCCAAAGCTAATTATACATCATCTGATGTTTGGAGTGAAGTTCACCAGTAACTTGCTTATATTCTTTATTTTTAGCCTTCTCTTGGAGTGAAGAAGCCAACTAAAGCCCTACTGTATGTCATACTGAGCCCTGTGGGTGCTTACTTTTCAAGTGAATGCTTTGATCCAATATCATTGTGGGCAGATCCAAAATATGTAAGAGCCTGGAAAGGAGGAACAGGAGACTGCAAACTGGGAGGGTAAATGATTCTGCATTTGTATGGAATCTTCATATTCTTCAAAAAAGTGATTCATTTTTCTAGTGATGAATCTAAGCCAGCAAAAATAGAGGTATTAGATATAGCAGTTAAGCAAACAATGTACTGTGACAAGGATTTCAAAACTGTATTTTCTTAATATTTCTTACACAATTCAATTGCATATTTTTTCTTTGGACTTTTTGGAGAGAGAATTATACATCATCTCAAGTTGAGAAACTGGGCCTGCAAATTATCCATATAATACTCTGACTGCTTCCCTTGCAGAAGTTGACACTGAAGATACAACTTCTGTGATAAAGCATTCAGTATAGCAACCTGCTGCCAGCTGGGCAGTCAGCAATGTTGACTGTTGAACTTCTGCCTTAGCAGACTGTCTTTGACAAGCCATCTACAGTAAGCTGGGGATATACAGGTGTCTGTGGAAAATCAAGAGACAGTTATCTGTGTGTACATGACAATGGTCTGGCAGTTTTCTGCTAAACTAGGCCAAAGCACCACTTACATAATGGTTAATGTCCAAGTACTTAAGTTGTCTGAATGAAGCTGCTTAGGACTTGAGCAGAGCAAGCAACTTGGATATTGTTAGATAAAGTGACTTCATTATGTATGCTTGCCTTGTAAATGCAAAATGATTTAGTAAAATACCAGGAAAGTACTTCCAATAAAGTATCTAAGAGAGAAGCAGTGATTAAGCAGAGCACTTGCTCATAAAGCAGATTTGTACTGAACCATCCATAGAAATAAATGAATATTCATCCAGACACTCATTATCTGTTTGCTCTTTCTTTTTGTTTCTGAAAGGAATTATGGTTCTTCTATTTGTGCTCAGCAAGAAGCCCTGGAATTAGGCTGCCAGCAGGTTCTGTGGCTGTATGGAGAAGATCACCAAATAACCGAAGTTGGAACAATGAATCTATTTCTCTACTGGATAAATGAAGATGGAGGTACAGTAACACACAAAATGAAAACTCTAATAGAATAGACAGTTGGGACCAGTTGGGAGTGCATTTATTCATATTATGTGTACAAGGCTTCTAGAAGTGAATTTGACCCCCCAAATACTGTGGTAGTATTTTTGTGGTAGTGGGATAGTTACCTTCTCCCATAATTCATGAAATGATTGTTACGAGTGCAGATCATAAAAATTTTAATGAAAATGGTTTAACAAAACGAATGTCTATTCTGTTCTGAAAACTGGTAGGTGACTGTTAATCATACCATTGTAAAAGAGATGATCTCTGAGCAGCTGTGAGCAAAGCATATTGATAACATACTAATCTGCTGAAGCAGTCCACATGTTCAGGGGAGAGTGTAGTCATACAAAGGATCACACTGCAATTCGCTGTCAATTTTAGATGATGTTTCATCTTGGTGATGTCATGTCAGAAACAGTGCAGCCATGCTAAAGATGCCTTATGGTTGTGCAACTCTCCAGACTGTCCCTTTCGCATGAATGGTTCCCATTATCACTTTCCAGCAAGTGATATGTCCCTGAAGCATAACCAAAAGTGTTTCAGCATCTGACTGATAAAGCACTAAGCTCTTTCTTTAAAGAATTTGCATGTCCAGTGGAGGCAGACAGAAATATATCAATCGGCATTCCGCATCACTAGCATTCCATTGATACTTTAAAGATATGCTATCATTCTTAAATATATTTTTACATTTTTGCATCCCCAGTCACCTGTGAGTATTGTACATGTTGCTTAGAAAACTGTCTAGTTAATGAGGAGCCATTTATTTTGTTGTCTCAGAGTTCGGCATCGCAGAAACACCCACAGTGGTTCAGAAGTGCTGGTTCAGAAGACTACATGAGTTTGAATCTTTGGAGGACTGAGCCAGTTTATCTGGTAGTGAATGGAAGGATGCCTCCTGACTTCCATGAGTGCTTGCCCTCCATGAAAATTGTTAATGAATTTTTGCATGGCACCATATGCAGAGTTTAGTTTCTGATTTAACCAGAGCGCCATGGCTAGCTTTGAAAATTGACACTTTTCTGACAGTGCTCATGGGAATCCTGCTACCTGACTCTCATGCCCAGTTTCTTTTCTTGTTCTTCTGCAAAATCTTTAACATTTCTGCAAGAAGAGAAATTATGTCCCCTCCATGCTGAATGAGTCTGTGAAGTCTTGTGAATGAAACTTGAAATATGAGAAATCTTGTTGTTATAGTAGCAGTGGACTTGTCAGTGTATTTAGATGCCTTGTGTAACTTTGCTAGAGAGACACAAAAATAGATTCTGGCTCATTATACCCAGGGAAAGGACAGTGAAGGGGGTACATGATTAGAATTCAGTGTTCTTATTGTACTTAAACCAGGAATATGCTGGAATTACCCAGCTGCAGCACCGTTCTTTTCCAAAGATCTGCCAATCACTGTGTTACCAGTGTACAACTGAATAGTGCCATTGTGAGGTGGCTGTAACAAACAACTTGTAATTCATGCCTCCCAAGCTAACTGTATACTGGCAAACCTGCCATTTCATGCTACATGGTCATTAGCATCGTTGGAACAGTTTGCAGTCTTTCAGTGTGGTGATTAATGCTTAATTTGGGATATCTTTGGTTGAAAAATCACTCCTGCTGACAATGTGTGCCATCATATACCTGCTTATAGCCTTACATTGTGATTTAAAGAGCATTTACCATTATTTTCTCTTACTTTGCAACAGATACTTAGGCAGTGCATTTGTTTTGTTATGCAAATTCTGCAGCTGAGAGAGTGATCTAACACAAAAATAGTGAGGCAGAAATTGCAAATGATCATCAAAAGGAAAATGCTCTTGTTTGTGTGTTCAAGGGTCACTGCAGGATAGTCTGAATGTGCTCTATGTGGTGTTGTAACAAACCAAGTATCCAGCTTAGTAAAGTCCAAACTAAGGAACGTCCATACTTCCAATGACAGCAGGCTTTTCTTGTAAGCAATTGCTGTATATTTTCAGCATTGCCTCTAAACATGACAAGTTGTTTTTGATAGCAGAGGAACCTGAAAAAAAATGTCTCATTTATAACATTGTGGAGGCAGTTAGAGGAAACTACTCTTGTAAAACAGTATGCCATGCTCTGTGCTATGTATATGCCCACTGCTCCTCTGGCTGAGGCTTTCTACTGTTCCATAAATAAAGGAGCATGATATTCCACTCATCAGTGACTGTTTACGGTTTATGTTCACAAAATGAAAATTTTAGTCACCCAACTGTGCTTTCCACCTGCCTCTTCAGAGCACATAACAATCCCAGGAAGCTGTCAACATTGAAACTCCTGTTTCCTTTAATAATATCAGTTCTTCTGCCTAGAATTTGGGTTTGACTTTGTGAAAAAATGTAGAATTTAAACATATGTCTAACCTGAAGGTTGCTAATTAGAAAAGTTCTGCATTTTCCAAAAATTGAATTTCTTAAGAATGATTTGGAGCCATCTGGACTCTACTTCTAGCTTTACTGATAAGAACGTGAATAGCATTCAAGTTTTATTTAATGTTTTTGTGCTGCTATTAAAATGGCGAGAAACAGTGCTCACTTCAAAATAGCACACATTAAGTTAAATGTTCTAAAGGATTCTCTAGAACACTCAGTTAAAATACCAGGCAACTTGATTTTTATTTTTAGTAGTTAAAGGATTATTTCTACTGCAAGAACGCGTTAGGATCATAGAATTTTTTTAGTTGGAAGGGACACTTAAATGTCTTCTAGACCAACTCCCCTGTAGTGAACGGGAACACCTACAGCTCAGTCAGGTTGCACAGAATCCTGTCCAGGCTGTCCTTGAATTCCCATCTAAAAGATGGGGAATCCACCATCTCTCTGAGCAACCTGTTCCCATTATCAGGTAGGCTATAAAGAAAGTAATTATTGTGCCTTCTGCTGCATTAGAAGCTCATAGCAAAAGCATAGTGGAGAGAGCAGCTTGAATAAGGTGCTAGACAGAAGAATGGAAGGAAAAGTAATTGAAGAATGTGTATCAGCTAAGAAGCAAAGATGAAGTGATTTCATGAGGGGAGAGTAGAAGAAAAGCCTAAGGGAAAAACGAGGAGACAGAAATAGAAAGGGCTGGAACGAATTGGGAACAGAAATCAGCCGTTTGTAATAGTGAAATCAGGGTTTCCTAGGTTCTCTTTGACCCTGAAAATCACTTGGTATATTTTACCAAAATTATAACAGATATTATAGTGTATTTCTCTGCATTGTTGTGGTGTGACTAGTACTGAAATCTTCTTATGTTTGGAATATTATCTCACATGTTCATAAATGAAAGTGTATAAAAATAGAAGCTTTGTAAAATGAAAATCTTCATTTTAAAAGTACCTTTGAGCCCTCTGAGGGAGATTCTTAGTTATTGCATGCTGTAGTAATTGGGCACTTTAATATGATGGAAGAATCAATATCATAGAAAGGTGCTATAAGAGAAGGGGAAAAGATTGCTTACTCATATCAGAAGATTGCAGGTTTACAGAGGAAAGCTCCACCAGGAAAGGATCTCCAAAAAGAGATCCTTCCTTAGTGGCAGTCAGCCCTTAAATGAGGTCTAAGAGGTGCAGCCAGGCTCCACCTCTTCCGGTCACACAGATGAACTGCTTTCACCTGTGCTCCTAGGGCTGACCAGGTCCTTTCCCCAGGTGCTCAATCACTGGTTCAGGCCATGACTTGGAAGTTCCCATATGCGTGCCTATACCATACCAGGTGCAATGGGACATCGGACTGAGAAGTGCTATTACTTCTGATACTGTAACAAGTAATAACAGTAGTCAAGTGAAGAGAAACCTCAGCGTTTTCCTTCAGATGCCTTTTTTCCCTTTTCTTGTTGCTATAAATTTTTAGGCGTTTAGCCCATCAAAATAACTCAGAAGGCAAATTGAGTCTGTGAGCTCACAGTCTGTTTTCCTGGAGATGGACAATCTGATGTCATATGGAGACTGCTTTGGCATCAATTCATAGAGAGAACGAGCTTTTTGGCATGTGATGTTTTTTAGTAGTATTATCATCTCTGCTGGGTACCAGGGGAAGCAGATGTTCCTTGCGTGGCCCCAGGCTGGTAGGCATCATATGTGGGCTTGACAAAATTAGGCAGAGCAGACTATCTGAAACATTAAGACTCCTGCATCCTGTCTGCTCAGTGCTGTTTAGGGGCTGGTTTGTCCTGGCACCTTTTCAAAGTAGCTCACATCACTGAATATATGTTGTTGAGCTTAAACAGGTTCTGGCTAAGATTTGTGGCAAAGTCACCACAAACAGAATGTTATCAGGTGTGTAGGTACAAACTTTGGCATTAAGGTCCGTGTTATTTTAAGCTTTCTGCTAGAGGAATACTCATATGTGACTGTGTCTGCAGAGTCCATAGCTGGTGAGCTGCAGAGCATCAGCTTTCTAGGCTTCAGAACTGAGGGCTGTGTCTTACTGAATTTTAAATGTCCTCTTCACTTGATAGCTGTGTTAAAATAGGACATGATAGGCATCCTGATTAGGAGTGAAGAACTTTGTGTTGCTCTTGACTGTATGAGAAATAAGAGACAGCTGCTGTACTTAGGAATTTGGGATAGGCTTGAGAATGACATTATTGGTGAGTCAAACCAGAGTAGAATATATAGCTTGTTCTAGAGCAGCTCACTTAGACATTTTGGCATGATAGTTTGTCTATTACATATATGCATATAAGGGACATGGAAACATAAGTCAGAGAATCTTGTAGTTATAATAAATCCATGACTGGTTGCATTAAAACTAACAGATATTTCCAAGAGAATGAGTAATAAGTAACAAATATAGTGAACAATTGTATTTATTATCCTTTGTTTCTCCTATTTCACTCCAGCTCCTGAAGTCCTAAGGAGAGAGCCCAGTTGTCCTTAACCTGTATATGCAGTGGCTGCCAGGCAGTGTTTGTGCAGATTATCTATCTGACAGTTGAAACAGAGTCCTCAGCTGCTAAGTTCAACTTGATCTCTCTCAGTGCAAGGATGAACAGCATGTTTCTCCCTTCTCATTTCCCCAACCTACAGACTGCTGCTTCTTCAATCTTGGTTCAGACAGGCCTGGATTCAATGATTGGTTGTTGGGAGGAGTAAGGATCATAATGACAACATGAAGATGCATATCCTCTTTTTTGATTTGATCTCACCTAGGTGATATAAAAAGCCTTCATGGCTTGTAAATTCTATAAAGAGCTTAATATCTTTATGAGAATAAAAAAGATAGTGGATTCTTACTGGGAAGAGAAAATGGTTAGAAAAAAAATTATGAAGAGTATTATTGAAAGACCCACTGACTGTGAATTTCAGTATTTACCTAGTATGTATCACTGTGTATTACTGCTAGTAATTAGTAAGTGTTGGATCAACATTTATGTAATGTTCTTTGTCTTGAAAGAAAGAACAAGCTAACAAACCAAACTAGCTGAATGGTTTTAGTTGCTGGTGATTTTGGAATTTTATTGGGACTGCTCTTTTTGAGTAAAGACAAAATTAGGAGGAAAAAAAAGACATCTAGACCAAGAGGAAAGATCATTAAGGAGGTGTCTTCTCAAGAAGCATTTACCAAAGTTTTCACTGCTTTGCTAGTTCAGTAAATAAGCCTCAAAATTCCCTGCAGATGTTTCATTTTAATGTTTGGAAGTAGAAATACTGAACCGCATATACCTAAATAAAGTAAAGCATTTCAGAGAGAGTCATCATCTGCCCTGGCATTATTAGGTATGACTTTCTTTTGTGTCTCTGTAGTCTGAATTTGAAGACTGAGCTGTTCCCGATAACTGCACAGTGAATCCATACACTGAGGAATAAATACTGCTACCAGGCTTTAGCTATATATTTATTGATTAATTAAATATATTTCTTCACCATTCAGTCAGATGTATTAGAAAGGTTCCAAACACTCAGAAACAATTTACTGTAGTTGAATTTGTATGATTTTTGTTCATATAGAACTCTGAGAATTTTTCATATTACGGAGTTAAGATTTTAATGTTGATTTTCTAATAGTTGTTTATTTTGCTTTATTTCTCTTGTATGTGACAGAAGATGAACTGGCAACTCCACCTTTAGATGGCATCATCCTTCCAGGAGTGACAAGACAAAGCATTTTGGATTTGGCCTGCAACTGGGTGAGTGCTTTGACAATGCCAGTAGTGTTTCAACTCTCATAAAATCTACTAAAGTAAGCATTCCTGCTGCTCTTTATCCAAAAGTTCAACTGATATGGTCAAATCCCCTAGCCTAAATGAGAATTAAGGAGCCCATTGATTCATAGATTCTGGGCATCATCATCAGAAAACCCATATCTATCGCATGGAACAATACTGAACTTGTTAGCTCTGTATAGTATTTAACATGAACATTCTGCTTAAGTCTACTATCACCACTAACATAAAGCAAGGGTATAAATGATTACCATGTATGATCACAACTGTACTTTATTCATCAGCACCCTATATCTCCACTGATTTCTCATGGTTTCATTCAGAGTTACGTTCGGAAATGAATAACAGGAATAAGGCATGTTGTTATACTTTTCCTCTGGTATTCTCTAAGCTTTCAACCACATGAAAGCTGAAGGACTTCCTGAAACACAGTTCATAGTTATGTCATTTAAATCCAACTCATAATGAACAGAGTTAAGCATAGAATACATAGACATACATAGAATCACCACGGTTGGAAAAGACTGACAGGATCACCCATTACCAATAGTTCTCACTAAACCATGTCCCTCAACACAACGTCCAAATAGTCCTTGAACACCCCCAGGGTCAGTGACTCCACCACCTCCCTGGGCAGCCTGTTCCAGTGCCTATGCTGCATGGGGTAGGTACATTTGCCACTTGTTCATCTGCATTGAACTGTTATCATCTTTACTCATACTAGTACTCCTGTGGTCTGAAATAAAAGATATGTAGATATGCGTATGCATATGCAATTCTCAGTCATTTCTCCCTTACAAGATAGACAGTTGTTCCCAGTTGCTAGAACTCTTACTTGTCTCCTAGTTTTTCTATTGTCTTCCTGACTTGTATTTCCTCACCTACCTGAAACCCTTCTTACATGGTGTCTGGTGTCCCAGCCCTTCTCTCCAAATGCTCTTCTATCCAGCACTAATAATATTTTTTTGTTCTCTTAAGCACCTCTGTTCCATATTTAAAAGTATGCATGTAAAGCAGGGGCTAAGCTTTAGTTTGGCCTGCTAGGACAATGAAGTCTACATAAAACCATGAAATTGAAAGTTCAGTGTTTACTGTTGTTCTTTAAAAGCTTCTCCTCAGTCAGTTGCTATTCATTCTTCAGCAGTTACAGAAAGTAAAACATTTCCTTTCAAGAGACTGCGTCCCATGTGAATTGCTTTACTAATACCTACTGTACAGTTAAGTTTTGTAGATGACAGCTGCATACAGGCGTGCATCTAGCTGGCATTACAGGTAAAATTAAAAAACGTATTTTGCTTAGGAATTGTCCAAGAGTATAATGCAAAGTTCTTATACAAAATTGAGTCAAACTTCACAGTGCTGGAGACCAGGAGTTGTCAGGTCTTATATCACATAATCCATGACAAATTAAGCTGTATTATTCCGTAATACAGTATTGATATTCTGTATCAAGTCAGTGGGAAGTGCTGCTTAATCATCAGCATCATCAGCACTATACCTAGCAAACCACTGGCTTTCTCGAAGGCCATTTTTTTCATTAGTCTATCTTAAATGATACTGTGAGGTTTAAAAGATCACAAGATCACAGCCAAAATTTGACTGATTGCAATTGGGCTAAGTAAAAATACTAGGTAGTTTTGTCAGAGATGTTTCAACAATAAAAAACAAACAAAAACACATTTATTTTTTTAAACATTTAAGTTTTTTTTTTTTTTTTAATTATTCTTGTGCAGGGAGAATTTAAAGTGTCTGAGCGTTACATCACTATGAGTGACCTGACAGCTGCCTTGGAAGAGAACAGAGTGAAGGAGATGTTTGGGGCTGGAACAGCTTGCATTGTATGTCCTATCTCCAGAATTTTGTATAAGGGCAAGGTAAGATAATATCACTTTCCCTTCCTCTCTAGAATTTTTCTCTTAATTGTTTGCTGCTGGAAAAACAGACAAACAAACAGCAACAACAGCAAAAACCACCATACCAGTGAGATAGAAAAGGAGTACTGCCTGAGGATCATGGGAAAGCACAAGTATGTTGTTTGCTAAGTGAGTTGCTGGTATATTGGCAGAAGAGAAGACTCCCTCTCATCTTCTGATCTTTTTTTTTTTTTTCCTGCTTATAACTAAGCAAAGTCACAAAATCTCAGTTCCTGAAAATGTGTGTAATAGTTCCCAGCCTGATTGGAAATACAGAAAAATACATTTTTCTACCTTTCTTTTATTGAAAGTTTTTTTCAAAAATACAAGGCTGCCAGGATAGGCAAGAGAGGAAGGACTTCTGTCTGGAGGCAAATTTCTGAGCCACTGCGTTCATTTTTCTTTAGATGTATCTGTTTTTCACCCCTCAGTGCAGGGAACCCAGCTGTGGTAGAGGAGTTGTGTCAGGAGAATGCACATCTGCTTCTACGTATTATGCGCCATATGGGAGATTTCTCCTGTACAGATGGAATTTCACAGGCATTTCTTTAGCCTGTTAGGCAGAATTGATGCTATTAAATCAGCACAAAGTTAATTCATAAGCCTGGAGAATTTCAGGTGGATACATAGGTGTTTTGTTGCATCAAATATGACATGTACAGTAGAAGTATGTAAAGTGATAGTTCTTGAATTAATAAGATGGAATAAATGTACTGATATTATGTGCTAAGATAATATGAAAGACATCCAGGTACTAATCTTATCAACTATAAATGTACTTGTTGCATTTCTGCACAAAATACTCTGAAATGAAATAATACGTATAGGAGTTCTGCTCTGGTTTGTACAATTTATTGTCTGTCTTGGACAGTCTTTTGTAGAGCTTGGATTGGCCTTTGAAAGCAGCAAAACAGTACAGCTAATTTAACTTTTCACTGGCTGAGCATGCTCTCCTGTAAAAACATTACAACAAACTTGTGAGGAGGACTAGAAAACTTGATCAATACTTATTAAAATCCCTGTTGTCCCTGTGGTATTTATATATATGTATATAAAGTTATATGTTATTTCATCTCTCTGTCTCTCTCTTTCTCTCTCTCTCTCTCTCTCTTTTCATCCCCGCTCCCCCTGACCTCCTCTCCTTCATTCAATGTCAGCATTTGCACATTCCAACTATGGAAAATGGACCTCAGTTAACCACCCGAATCCTGAATAAGCTGACTGATATCCAGGTAAGATATTTTATCTTCCTTAATCAGATATAATAGTAAATGGTGACAATGTGAAAACCTTGAAAACAAGTATTTTTTAATAATGTTACTGTAGATAATATTATGCCTTTGCTTGGTGTGGTTAATCTATTCATTTTTTTCATTATCTTGAAAAAATGTGATGCAGATTTTTTCCTTGTTCATCTTCCAAACTGGATAGCATTGTTACAAGTCCCTTTTTAAGGGAAATAAATAAATAGATGAAATGTCTTAATAACCACAATCGTAAATGAATGTGGGCTAATCAATAAAGATAAACATAAACATTCAGTAGGCACAATATTATTTTCCTCATCATAGCATCATAGAATGATGTAGATGGAAGGAATCTTAAAGACCACCTAGTTCCAATCTCCCTGCTGTGGGCGGGGTTACCAACCACTAAATTGGACAAAGGTTGTTGCCCAGGGCCACATCCAACCTGATCTTGAACACCTCCAGGGATGGGGCATCTATAACTTTTCTGGGCAGCATGTGCCAGTGCCACAGCATTCTCTGAATGGCGATATCTAATCTCAGTCTCCTCTTTTTAAGTTTAAAACCTTTCCCCCTTACCCTGTCATTATCAGACTATATAAAGAGTCTGTCTGCCTCCTATTTCTAAGCTCTTTTTAGGTACTGGAAGGCCACAATTGGGTCTCCCCACAGCCTTCTCTTCTCCAAGCTGAACAGTCTTTCTTCATAGGAGAGGTGCTTCAGCCCTCTGATCATCTTTGTGACCTCCTCTGGACCCACTTCAACAGCTCCACCATGTCTTTCTTGTGCTGAGTGCCCCCAGGCCTGGATACAGTACTCCAGATGGGACTTCACAAAAAGAGAGCAGAGGGGGACAGTCACCTCCCTCTCCTTGCTGGCTGCCCCTCCTTTGATGCAGTCCAGGTTGCAGTTGTCCTTCTGTGCTACAGATGCACACTGCTGGCTCATGTCCAGCTTTTCAAACCTCCAGGACTCCCAAGTCCTTCTCCTCAGGGCTGCTCTCACTTAGTTCTTCTCTCAGTCTGTACACCCTGTTGCCATCAAACAGGAAGGAGACTAAGAGATGGGGAGGAATGGAAATAAGTCTCAGCTCGACTTCCTGGCCTGGTTCCACCCTCTGACTATTACCCTCTACTGAGAGTTCAGGCTGGTGTTTAAAAAACATGTAAATGTGGTACTAAGGAACATGGTTTACTGGGTGATATTGGCAGTAGCTGAATGGTTGGACTGGATGATCTCAGAGGCCTTTTCCAATCTTAAGATTCTGTGGTTCTACATATCTTGCTTTTCTACATAATTTTAACATTCATAAGTGTTGGTTTCCAGCACAACTGTATTTTAACTTATATAATACTTTTTTTCCTAATATTGGTATCTCAAATTATGCAGCTGACTATTCTTCACTAGGAAGATAACACAAAATCGGTGTCCTTTATTCCTTATTTTAATATTGGATGTTACTGGCTGCAACTCAGGGAGAAAATAAGTCCTAATATTCTTCTGTTACCTTTGTGTTGGTGGCTGAGTCAACTTTCACAGGGGCAGAAAGCAGCACCACTCCTGCACATTTGTCTTTCAGCTGTGCTGACTTAGTGGCTTGAGATCTGGACCTTTCTCTAGGAAGAAACATAGAGATCTTTGGTTCTAACTTCTATTATTTGTTGAGGGGAGGAAGGGGCTTAGTACTCCATGTTCCCAGGTAAATTACATGAAACGTTATCATCTTACTACGTGAGATATACAATAGTTATGCTCTAGAATCCCACATGTACCACGGTTCTGTTTCATCTTTCTTATCCTCAAATGCCAGATACATCACGTCTAAAATCTCTGTTGGTGCCCATCACTTTATGTATTGTCATTTGTCCAGTTTTATGTCAATAGACAGGCTATATACCAGTTCTATCAATATACTTTTCACTGTGATACAAAGCAATCACAGTTTCCATAGCGCTGTGCTCTGTGTTAAAGACATTTTCGTTATTATGTCAAGAATCTATCTTTAAAAGCACTTGTATAATTCTTATGTTACCTTCTGATGTCTAAGTGATGCTTCTGAAATCTGTGTTAGGGCCTTGAGCAATACATGGTTAGTTTGAGTCGCCACAAATCATTTCTAATTGCAGTCCTGAACAGCTCAGCATCAAAAAGAGTTGAAGTCAGTTCTAGCATATTCTTGAATGTCTTGTGTGACAGGGTAGGTACTTAGCAGTTTGTATTACAAGACAAGTAAGTGCCTTCAGTAGAAAAAATGGCTTTTGAAAATCCAGAATTGTTTTGTAAGACTGCACTGGAATGTGGGTCTTTCTCCCTCGGCCAATAGATAGTGAGAAGACTATCAAGACGTATTTATGCAGCCTGTTCCCAGAGGCTGCCTTCCTTCTCAGCTCCTCCTCTTCCCACATCTGTCCCACATTCCCTCAAGATTCGGGAGGAGGCTGCAGTGTATATTGCTTCTAACCATTATGTTCCTTGGATCTTTACACCTTATAGCTGTGCATGCAGAATTGAATGTATTAACATGTGTTCATTAACGGTAAATCTATCACTCCTGAATTCTGCTGGGTTATTACATACAGAGATGTACATATATTTTACATATATTTCTGTGTCTGCTTCTTTAAAAAGCTCAGGAGAATCTGAACACTGTTAGAAACTTTGTTTTAAAGGAAATCACAGCTGCTTCCCTCTAATAGTCAATCAGTATTTGCTGGTTGCATATCTGCACTTCCCTGTTTGTGGAGAGATGAATTATATCTTATATCCAAGTGGACCTCAGATTCTTATTCAGAAAATAAATTACAGAAAAAAGTTTCTGTAACACACAGAATGGAGTATATCATATTCCTAAAATCTCAAGAGATTTTTGAGGATCTTTGTGAAAGATATTTTACATATTCCACCAGGACAGGGGGAAACAAAAATCTCTTTGCAGCATCACAGGACTATTGTCATATCATTTGGCTCTTATTCCAAAGAATGTGCAGGTTCAGAAAAATTAAATGCCATGGAAATTACAGTCAGACAGAACTTTGGTCTCTGTACCATGGTCTTGCCTAAACTAAGGCAAAGTATCCATTTCATGTTGGACAATGGGCATTTGTGAGACAGTGCTAACTATTAGTACCAACACTGTCATGCATTTGCACGTGACCAGGAGGTGCAGGGATCCATGTCCAATGTCATTTTACTGATTCTCTTGTATACAATGCATACTTGTTCAACATTTTCAGATTATCTCAATTATGGTGTTTTTAAGTCTGTTTTCGTGCTGCTCATTTTTCATTTGTAAGTCTCCCATGTTCAACAGGATTTCTCTGGATATGCACAGCTGTTCAGTGGCAACTAGAGCTAGAGTGACAAATTAGAAACTCATGGGCAGAACTGATTTCATTTCTCATGCCAGTTGAGAGAGACAGTAGTCATACTGTGATATACATTTACTTTCCTGTCATCAAGTAGAAATCATGATTACTTAGGCTGATAAAAATTTTAGATTAAATAATTACATTGTCTTAACTAATAGTGTGTTTATGAATGATTTTGTCATAGAACATTGTCTTCTGCAACTGGCTGAGTTAGAAGATGTAGAGAAGAGATTCTTTTCTCTAGGAATAAACCCACTGAAATACCAGTCCAGTGTTTTTGTGATTTTGCATTCCATACTTTGAGAATAAACAGATGTTTTCTGTAGTCTTTAAAGCAGAGATCATGATGTAACTTAGAAAGAGTGGATAGAAGATAAAGTGTACTGTTTATACTACGTGAGATATAACTCAATTAAAAACCATAGTCAAACATAGCAGTGAACTAAGATTTAGTCAAAAAACATAATCTTTTTCAAGTTGCATCATCTAAATGGATAGGCCAGAGGAAAACAGCCAAAGAACAGTAATGGATGTGTTAATTTCTATCTTTGACAGCATCAGAAAAGGAAATTAAATCTTCTTTTATTTCGAAAACAAAAGCATCTTGACAGTGATCAGAGCATCTTCATTCTCTCTTTCGTTCTGGAATTGTGTTCAAGCTATTGTCAAATGGCAACTTAGACCACCCCTTGCAATTTCTGAAATTTTCATCAGAGCAAGATATGGTAGTACCTAAAGCCATCAAAACTTCCAAGTAATCTGCTAGCCTTTCTCTGTTTTCTGATTTATGAGGACTGGGAGAATGACTGAGAAGGAATGACGTGAAGGTCAAAGACATCTCTTTTTTTCTCCATTTACTGTCATCCACATCAAAATTGCCTCACATTAGGGTAATCCAGTGCTTTGTGTTAAACTACTGATACGTCTACTTCTTCTTAGTACAGTTCACAGGGCTACCACACTGATACCTGGGAACATAAGCTGGTGATCCTTTCAGCAAGTAATTTTATCTAAAGTCCTCAGTAGCACCATAGCAGTGTTTAATAAAATACATCACAGACTGCAAAACTAGAAAAGCAGTATCAGTGATACATGCAGAGGTCTTTTAGAGGGTTTACTTGCTGGACTAAAGAGCAAAACAAAAGTAAGCTGAATGTCATTTTGTGGATCTAGAATTGTTTTTTTCTGACTCGTTTTGATTTGGAGATGTTCTCTTTTGCCTGCTCTAATGTGCGTTTTTCTCCTTTCCTGCTGATATATAACATGAATTTGGAGGAAATTCCTCTTATTGTCACTTGGAGGGATTATCATCGAGTGGTATTTTCAGCCTACGTGAAGCCTCTAAAAACAGTACTTTATTCTTTGCTTGGAAGTGTTTTCAAGCTCACTGAACATGGTGCTATAAAAGGTGAAGGGCTCCCAACCTACGTCTGCTGCTAGTCTGTCCACCTCTGCTTTACTTAAATACATGAGCCATATGTGCATTTTTGGGGCTCTCTGGAGTGTTGTGTATAGGACTGGTGACAAAGAGCTTTAGAACACAGCGCCAATTCCATGATTCCAAGTGGTTCCTTGGGACTTTATTCTTAGATGGAAGTGAAACAGCTTCATGTAGTAGGTCACCTTCTATTCTGCCTCGTGTATGGGAAGACAACTTGTTTTATTTGGGTTGCAATTCTCTCTAACTGCACTCTGTGGTATTTGTGATTGGTTTTATTTTACATTCAGTCAGAATGTAATAAAAAGCCACCTTAAAAATAAAAAGAAAGAAAAAACAAATGTGTCTGTTTACTGGAGCTTGAGCAGGGGCATAGTTAGGAATAAATTAGTGAACTGACCTCTGGGAATAACTGTATTAAATTGATAGAAAGCTTTAACAAAGCAGGACTATTCTCTGTCATCCCTAGTTGTGTATTTCTAGTTCACTCATTGGAAGATGTATAAAGCTGCAAGGTACCTTTAAGCTTTTCTGAAATAAAAGACAAAAGGCATAAAAAATAATGTAAACTATTAGGGTGGTGGGTGTGAATCTTTCTGAAGATAGATTTAAGAAGTTCATAGAATCATGGAATGGCTTAGAGGGAAGAGACCCACCCAATTCCAACTCCCTGCTGAGGGCAGGACTGCCACCCAACAGCTCAGGCTGCCCAGGGCCCCATCCAAGCTGACCTTGAACACCTCTGGGGATGGGGCATCCACAGCTTCTCTGCGCAGCCTGTGCCAATGCCTCACCACCCTCTGAGTAAAGAATTTCCTCCTAACTTCTATTCTGAACTTTCCTTCTTTGTGTTTTTAAAACCAGTCCCTCTTTGTCCTATCACTATCTGCCTGCGTAAAAAGTCAGTCTTGTTCCTGTTTATAAGCTCCTTTTAGGAACTGCAGTGAGTTCTCCCTGGAGTTTTCTCGTCTCTAGTCTGATCAAGCCCAGCTCCCTCAGCATTTCTTCGTAGGAGAGGTGCTCCAGTCCTCTGATCATCTTTATGGCTTCTTCTAGACCTGCTCCAACAGTTCAATGTTTTTCATGTCCTGGAGGCCCAAGTTATCATCATTATTGTGTACTACTACTTTTAACTCCTAAAACTCCTTTTTTGGTTTCTTTCAGTATGGAAGAGAAGACAGCGATTGGACAGTGCTGGTGTCATGAAGGTGGAAGAGTTCAGACCCTCCAGACAGAATAAACACAAATAATGATAACTTCTGTAGCTGCCTGTGCGTAGCCTAGTTTCTGCATCAGTTTGCTCCCTGGGATGATTGTTTCCACAATCCAGTGAATATGAACACAATCATTTTGTTTTCTACTGTAATCTTGTTAGTAGAAGCCTGTCTTCTTGGTAGAGGTGCTAAATGTTAGCAATAGAACTTTCCTGATGGTTTTCTTAGTGCCTCCTTGTGTCTTATGTACAGTCTAAAAACTTGTAAAATGCTCTTCAACTGCTCTTCAGTTTGTTTGGTTTATTTTAATTGCCATCGCCAGCAGAGCAAGTTGTATAAAGCAGAGAAATTGCCTGTTAGTTGTCCACAAGGTTCTGTTGCCATTATTCTGCCTTTTGCTCTGTGTTCAAAAAATAATTACGTTTAACCACATGCTCTGTCCTTTTCTAACCTGCTTGTATGAGAATTCCTGAATTTTCGTAGCCTCACAGATTCCTTCATCCATATTCTGTCAGATAATGACTCCATCCTGTAGCCCAGATGCTTAGCATGGATCTAGCAAGCAACATCTACTTGTTGGACTGCTACTTTTACCTCTGTGGAGATAAGCAAAGACTGGTAGGGCAGGACATACCTCACTAGCAGTTGAATACATCCTTCAGTATACAATGTCCAGGGCTGAGCCAGACCATGCTGACACCAGAATTGCCCTTTGTCTGGCAAAGCAGAGATCTGGGAGCTGCTGACATAGCGTCGCCTTCTGGGTGAGCGCGTTAAAAACACAATTAAACAACTGTGGTTGTAGAAGTTGAACCACTCTTCATTTGGTTGAAGCGAGAGCAACCAAGCCTTTGGATTGGTTGCCAACATGATTTAGATCAGCAAAAAGTTTTCTTGTTCCCTTCACCACTCACAGGGCCTTTCTGTTTAAGGAACAAGTCATGTTGTCAGCAGAAATTGACTAGCTCAAGGAGGAAAGGGATTTAATTCAAACTCTGTTTTTCATTTTGATTAAGTATGAAGTTATTCGTATTCTGCTGCTATTTGGGCTACATGCTCTATATTACTTCAGCAGTGAGGGAATTAACTTCTGCAAGGGTTCACTAAGAAATAGCCTGTAATATTTATTAGCTTTCTTTTTTTGCACACAGATTTGTCAAATAGCTTTAGAATATCTCTAGCCAAAAAGATCGCTATGTTCTGTATCAATATTCCAAAGTGCTACTTCAATGTAAAACTGGTGGAACTTCACTGACAGTAACAGAGTTCTATGAGAAGTGAAGGTAAAACATTTATTTCCATGCTTTGCAGTAGGGATGCACCAGTATTAAGGGAAATTCTTAGCACTTTATTTTACTTCTTTTTAAATAAGATTCAACAGTTTCTCTCATGCTTTATAAGTTCTTTGTAATTACTGACATTCATTAACATAATTTTAAAAGGCAAAACATAATTTCTAATAGACCACCCATGCCTTATTACAGCTGTTGTAGGATCATAATGTATGGCTTTTATGTTTAGATTTTTTGGTGGGGGTTAAAGACAACCCATACTTAGCCATCAGTTACTTTGCTTCCTCAAATCATGACTTTTACTGTCTTTCACTGTGACCCAATCTGATTTTTTTTAATGAAGAGCAGTTGGAAGTTCTCTCTGGTAATGTAACTACTGTTAAATTGTTGAACAGTTTTCTCTTTAGAATACAACTGCAAGCACAAAATTTTGTTTCACAGTAGCAATAGTACTGTGTGTTCACTTTCTGACCATCTGAATCAGTATAGTGTGCTGGTCTTTGTTCAGTATCGTAATATGTGCTACAAGCTGCTAGTAGTCTTCCATTTTTCTTTAAGAAGATGGGTGGAAGAATATGTCAAGGTGCAGAGTGGGGTAGGGAGTTTTATCCAATGAGGCAAGTATCGTAACTAAAGAGTGCCTTTAACTAAAGCATGGCATGGAGCTTTCTGTTACTAAAGTATACAGTCCAAACCCTTATATTCATTTTGAATTCAGCAGCATAAGGAAAAGTTGTAATAATCTAACTTCAGATGCATGAAAAATTGGATGTATGATACCTGCACATCACAAAATCTTGTTAGAGTTGATGGGTATCTCGTATCAAAAATCCCCATGAAGGCATGAGTGTACCAAGGTTAATCTATTCAGAATGAGTAAGGACTTGTTTGAAGAATTATTTTACTGTGGTGCAGAACTTGAAAGTTATGTAAATCTCTTCTTAAGTTGAATGCAAATAATTTAATGTGAGGAAACAAAATAGTTTCATTTATTTGGTTTGCACTGCTGCCTGTGCTGACCAGGGAGACATCTCTCCTTTTGTTGTACATACTGAACCGATGGAGACTTCAGAACTATAAAGTTGAACCTGGAACTACCCACAGAAATGCACAGGCTTTTCTAGCTGCAAGAAAAAAAACATAGCGTATGTATAATCAACTGTTCTTATTATTTGGTTACTTGCTTTAGTCTGGCTGTCAACTCAGCATTGTGGTTGTTGCTAAATCCAAGTGGATAGATTCTAGATTTTAAACTTTAAAGCCTAAATAAAGGGAGATGTCAGGTCAGCATCATGCAGGAAATTCTTCTGATCTTGCATGCTGTCCTATCCCACGTTCTGCCACTGTTTTTTATCCTGTTAACCAAAGGAAAGAAATAATATGTGTAAATAATTGTGTTTGGTATTGTGTTCTTCCTATTTTTGCCTGTAAGATTTAGGAGGGAACTGTGGTATTCCCTGAGCTAGTAATAGATTGCAAAAGAACATCTGCACATCTCTCTTCCATGTGCCCTATTTGTTTAATTGCAGCGAATTTACATAGAAAGTGAATTGTACATCATAACTAGGCAATTATCCATTCTTACTCAGTTAGTTATGGTTCTGTTAATTGATCATTTAAGACTTAAGATAGTCTAACATTAGAATTTGAGATTGTTCAAAGAAGATCAACAAATTCATATTGTTGTCTGATATTTGCATAATTGGTTGCAATTATTTAATGTCTAGATGGATTAATAATTGAGACTCAGCCTTTTCACATTTGTGCTTTACAAATTCTGATCCTTTAAAATGATAATGATGAACTCTAATTTTCATCTTTCTTTCCCCTTCATTGTTTTGGTTATTATTTTCAGTATTCAGAGTGTCTGTATTTTTCAGTTTGGTGAGCATGATTTATGCTTGGGAAAGAAGTCCTTCAAATGAGAGAACATTTCATAAAATTGGCATTTCATACAGGCCGTTCTGATGCCAAGAGTTATGGTATCAGCAACTAGTGTTACTTAACTAGAGCATTAATAAAGGTCCCTGCTTAGAATAGATAATCTGTTCAGCCCATAATGGTGCAAAGCAAACATGACTTTTCTGGGATGTAGAAGGAAATCTGACAAGACAAAAGCCAAGACAGTGAGAGATCTCTCTACCCAGCTAGTTTACACTTGTCCAACTATCTCAAGCCTAAAAGGAATTGTCCTCCATTGCTCTTTCTTAGATAAACTCTTGTCTAGGGTGTACCTAATTCAGTAGGGAGACATAAATTGATCACTCCCGTATACTTACTTTTCCACAGGCACAAACAGTGGTGGTTTGGAAAAAATGGGTATTTGAAAGGGTGATTTGGAATGTGAGTTTTTTGAAATATCTGTGTAATACATAGATTTCCATGGAGAGATAGAAACAGCTGGGATCACAAAGTGTTTAGCCTGTTTAAAGGAGAAACTCTCTTGAATTCAGTGTCCTCTCCAAAACAATCTACAGAATCTTAGCAGATTGCTTACAGTGAACTGTCTCTGGATAGTGCCCAGCTGCAAAGTAAATCACAAAGATGGTATCCCAGTCTTTAAGACTATGGCTATGCCAGACTTTTCTCTCTGTGTGGGAATCACCCTACTAGTAGTTGTAATGTCCCAGTGGCAGGCTTGTATAGTGAGAGTTGGGCAGGCATATAAATGTTGGCTGAGTACACCCTGAGGTCAACCATTCTTTTCTGTCTTTCTCTCCTTTCCACATAGATTTGCAAACCCTTTTCCCCTTACTGTCCTATCGTGGTGTCACATAGTTTCATGGTTATAATTTAAGCAAATTATTCATTAGTTTTGATTTTAGCAGTGATGACAATTTACTAAAAAAAAATAAAAGTGTTGTATTCATCTTGCAGGTGTGGTCAGGGATCAGAATTGGGATCTGAATATGTAATGACTGAACAGACTGACACTGACTTTGTGACCCTGAACAAAGAAGTTCTAATTTCTTTGTAAGTGCAGAGTAGTAGTAATACCAGTCATATTGCTTTTAACTCTAATCCAAAGTTATTTTGTTACAGAACAAATAAGCTTCCCAGAAAGCTTTCTAAGCAGCAGAGAATGATGCCAAATACAGTACAGTACTTCTAATGTGGAATCATTAAACTGCAAGTGTTCTGAAGGGACACCTTGTCATGTAGCATTGAGACAGACTTCTTTAATTATCTCGGCTACAAATTTTGTGAATTGCATTCTTTAGCAATTGGGAGATGTTAAGCCTCTGTTTTACTATGTTTTATTGCTACCCTCAAAATTTGGAAAAATAATTTATAAGTCTTGAGTCATTGTTGAGCTGAGTCACTTCTGAATAAATATATCTGTAGTTGTAGTCATAATAGCAAAATAGATTACCAGTGTTGCATTGGTGGAAAACCATCTTGCAGCTGTCATTCTGCTTATGCCTTGCTTTAAGCCTAATAGTTACTTGGAACTGTTTTCTCTTAACCATGCAAAATCTTAGTGCTGTCTATGGTAAAATTGGCAAATATGTCTAACTCCATTAACAAAACTTCTGCATTATTTTGAGCTTGAACAGTCAAGTACATTAGGATCTAGCAGGTGTGCAACAACACTGAATTAGAGTTGTCAAGCCTTAGACGTGTAACAAAATTATGGCAGTAGTAGCTGAGATAGAAATAAATATCTTTGACCACACTAGCAAGGTTTACCATACCCAACATTTCTAAAAATAGTGGTGTTTAAAGTTACTAGTAGAAACAGTATAGCTAAATCTTCGTGCCTGCCTTTGAACATGAACTTACACCATTTTTGCTTATCACAAAACTTAATTTATTGTGTCTTATTTCTAGCACAATTCCGAATTCTCATGCCATGCTTTAAAACAAAAAAAGCGTTTCACGTGAACAGGAGGATGTTAGGAGAATTTAAGACCTTTTGTAAAGAATTTTGAAACTCTTTAAAATATCTTCTGGATAAAGTTAAGGTAGGAGAAGATGACTTTATAGAAATAAGTATACACTATAGTGTACCGAATGATTTTCCAATGCTTTGGAGTCCCTCACATTATGTTTCATCCTCTTTTCCAGGATCTCTTTTGTTATTGACCAAAGAGGTGCACAGGGGGAAGTAGATAAAATAAGCTTAGTGCTTTTTTTCTCCCAAGCAAGAGTTGGGAAAGTTTCTAAGAGCTGGTTCTCTTGATTTTGCTAACTCTTTAGGACTCGATTTTCTCATGCTTGTAGCAGTCATTTTAGGTGTGAAATGGAAGAGCTCAGAAGTTATCTCAGGCAGTACTGTCATGAGGGAGCAGATCTGTTTTCACTTTATGATCACAGTGATCAAGATATGAACGATAAGAATTTTGCATCTTTTTAATTAAAAATTGCTTTTCATTTTAGGGCTGTGACGAAGTGTCACTGAACTATTACACTATTATATCTCAAGAGATTACAAGAAGAATGCAAGTGTTCCTTTTCTTTATGTGATCACCTTCCTTTATGCCAAATCTTTTCTTCATTATGATTTGGTCTCTGCTAGAATTGTGGTCTTTTCAGGTGAATTACCAGACTTGTGTTTTGTTTTTTTTTTCTTCTACTATCCAGTTTTAGTGCCTGCTGGATTATTTTGATAAGTTTAAAGTACTGGTAGCAAATACCAGAGCAAAAAGTGAAGTGAAAGTCTTCTGTCTCCAGAGCAGATGTGCTAGGAATTATAAAATTATCTATCTATCTCCTTACTTCAGTCAAAATGGGAATTCAGAAGAATATAATTACCATTCTCATTGAGTCCAAAACAGAGACTACCCAGGTATACCAAATGCCTAGCAGCATGGTAGATTTCTGTTCATGAATGCTCCTATTCAGTTGCTTAAATGCTTACATCTGTGCCTATATTTTCATAATTTTACCCCTCGTAGCATAGCTGAAACCTGCAACATGCTTCTGTATGCCATGAAACCATAAAATAATAGATTAAAACAAACAGGTAGTGCTCCAGACCATATAAAACTGAGACACTGTTTTCTACATGTCAGTGGCCTATTTTGTTCCTGTAATTTCAGTTTCTCTTCTAATGGCCTAATAGCTGACAAGACCTACGAGTAGGAGACCAATATATTATTTCTGTCCCATAGATGAGGATGTTGACAAAGAATGAACCTATTCCTTCTGTCTCCTGGAAGATGGCTTTTATGCTAGCTGGTGTCTACAGTAAAAAGTGGCAGAATGTCAGATGTTCTTTGCCATGATGGAGACTTGAAGCTATTTTAAACTATTTCTGTCAGGCCAGTACATTTGGAAAGATAAAAGTCCCAGTCTACCTGACCTTCAAGGCATTTAGAAGGATGCAGTAGTAGTTCTTGGAATGTAGCATGTAAGCAGTGGGAAATTAGCAACATAAGGGTGAGAAGTAAACACCTCTGAAGGGTCTCTGTTGTTTTAAATGTTAAAGTTAACAGGGTATTTTACAAGGATCTGAGCATATAAAAGCAGTAAAGGACAGATGTGTGAGAAAATACTGGATAAACTAAAGGAAACTCTACCTCATTCTTCTCTAAAGGTTTTGTAGAAGCACAATTAAACACTCCTAACGGCATTGTTACATACAGACCATCTGGCATGAAAGAAACACTTTATATTTGTATGTCTATAAATCCTGTAATAACTGTATTTTGCTGGCAGTAGAAACAGTCTATACTATTTGCAGTTTTCCTCATCAAATCTGTAATTATGCAATGTTTCTGTCTCCAATAAAGGAATTTAATGGGCACCTGTTTGTAGCACGTTATGAAATCATCATTGTTGAGTACAGCTAACTAAGCATAATTATCTGGTAGACAGGAGCAGTTGTGGAATGCATCTCCTGAAGGCTGGATTGAAAGAAAAAAGGATTACTGAATGAAGTGTGGCCTTTAAGAACAGCCGAGCAAGATGCAAGTGGTGAGAGATAAGCTAAGTCTATGGTCAAAATGCAAAGCCTGTGTTCTGGCTTCTGGCTTCCACTGAAGTCCTCGGGTATGGCACTCAGAGGAAGGAATGAAGCCATAATAATGGCAGGCATCCACGTACCCTGCCAAGCCTTGAGGTTGAGACGGTTGTTTCACTAGAGTAAAATGTTGGACAAATCAAGTGGCAAAATTACCTACCCACCAGCCATGTTGTCATGAAACAGCTTATAACATGTCAGGACTATGTAGCAGTGATTGAATACAGCCCCCATTCTAAGGGTTTTCGGGCGTTGGAACACAAGTGAGGGAAGAAAGCCAGAAAACAACTTAATACTTGGAGCACTTACTTCACAAGGCAGTTTTGATAGTCATTACTCTAAAGCATGTCAACCAGTGGGAAGCCCTTTGAAGGTGGAAAGCACTGAAAAGTGTGTCATTAAAATCTTGACATTTGCCATGTGTAGTAGCTATATTTACCAAAATACTTGACGTATTCCCCTCTTTTCAATGCAGGGAATACTGTGATTAAAGGTAGTACTGATCTATGCCGTGGTAAAATACACATCAGGGTAAATTTTCCATCTGGCTGGTTCTGTGATTTCAGAGAAGGCTGGCATGGATACAGGACACTTTGAAGAAGCTGTAGACAGGTAAGTACTAAGAGTTGTTAATTACTGCTGGGAGAATGAGCCTAACATGTCAGAATCAAACTTTATTCCTGTATTTTGACCTCTCCACTTCCATTCTAAGGGACCCTTTCATAACTGTAAACTTGAGCTTCACTAAAATTCCAAAATTCACTTTTACCAAGTAGTAATAATTTGAGAACTGAACCTGAAAGGGGCTGAGTGGGCTTCAGGCACAGACAGACCCACATTTTTAGGTAAAACTTGGACGATCCCTTTTTCTACCCCTTTTGAAAAGTCCAAGTAATTGACAATTGTTTTATTTAATAAAACACTTATTGCAGTACCATCACCGGTACTGCACTCACGCAGATGGAGAGTATTGATTGATTCCGAGGATGCTGACCTGTGATAGTCTCTTGTAAAGCCGATGCAACTAAAAGAAGTTTTAAAGTATTACAGGGGAAGGATGAAGCAAAAACTGCATTCTGTATGTACAGAACAGGACAAAGAATCCAGGTTAGAGATTCCAGCAAGGGCAGACAATATAATAAACAGGCTAATTTAAAGGGTATATCAATGAAAACCTGTGCAACCTGGTCGAGGGTGCCTGCTTTGTCAGAGGGGTGGGACTAGATGATCTCTAGTGGTCCCTTCCAGCCCCTACAGTCCTGTGACAAATTTTAAATTTCAAGGTTGTGTTTTTTCCTTCCTTTTGCTCCGTTTTTTGATATCATATCATTAAAATGCTATTCCTGATGGAGCTGCTGAATAATTACTCTGTTGCCATAAAGAGCAACATGTTCTGTAGTAGTACCTTTGGTATACTGGGTACTTCTCCAGAGAGGAATAAATAAAAGACAAAAAATGTGGGAAGCGTCTGCTTCCCACTAACCTGAGGGTGTGATTTGCAGTGCTAGGTAAGAAAATGTTTCTCCTGAATTCTATACATTTAGGATATTAAATTTAAGATACTAAGTTCTCAGCAGTGCAAGTGCCAGGCTATACAAGACAAAACCGTTTGTCGTAACTCATGAGTGTTGTCATTCAAAGAAATTGTGATTTGAAAATAACGTCAGACAGCCTCTGTTTTGTGATTTTTTTTATTTTTTTTTTGTTCTGCTCATGCAACAACTCTTTTCAAAGCTTAATTTCTTGACTAATTTGTACTATTAGTAACTTATAGGAAATTACTCTACTTTGGTGGCAGTGTAGGCCATCATTTTTGATAGAATGAGGTAAAGGGAATCCTATACAAGTAAAATATCTAACTAAACTCAGTGTTCATGTGATAAATACCTGACTATAAAGGATAAGCAGGAAAGCTAATGTTTTATATCGATCAGTTCTAACCACTGTGTTAAATACATCCACCTTTAATTTTAGACACTTTACATATCAAAGGGACTTGATAATGACATATTTTAAATAATCTTCTGATTGAGTGAGATATCAATCACATATCCAAAGCACACGTGCATACTTGTGGTTTACAAAACGAGTGACTTTAGAAGAAGAAACTGTTCAAGTTGACACTGATGTGATACGTGGCAATACTGACGAAGTAGGGATTTTTTATGTCCTTAGCAGGCAGGTCAGTCATCCTCAGCACACGGTGAGGATGTACAAAGTAAATAACGTGCTGGGAGGATGTCACCAGCAAAAACACTATCACCCTACAACAGCTAGGGCTGTTCTGATTCTCACTTTTTACAGAGAGGAAATGAATCTGATGTACTGCACCTGAGAAGAAAACCAAGACTGACTGACTTGCCTTTTACGTAGCCCATCACCAGGCAAAGCCAGTGGAAACAGTACCATTCTATTCAACTGTACTGGCTCGGACCCTGACTTGACGTGCTTTGAGCTGCTAATGAGGATGGCTCTTCCTATTTCTTGCTGCTCAATGCCTGGTTTTCCCTCTTTGGCAGTATTGCCACTGAAGCAGTTGCAGTCTGACCACAGAAAGGGAGGCATGTGCACAGAATCTACCTATGGGAAGAGCAGGACTGCCCTTTAGCCTTGGCAGAGTTTCTAAGGGGCCAAAGCCTGTTAAAAAGCCATACCCATATGAAATATTAGGACTTGATTATCTTCCAGGTGCAAGCTACTTTTATTATGGCTCTTAAACTTTTATGCACCAGACCTTGCTTAAGTCATTGCTGAATTCTATGTTCGCTTTTTTTGTCTCGTTAGCTCATGCAAGCCTTATTCCAGAGCAAGGACTGTAATATTTGCTTTACTGTGAGGTTCCAGGTTGGAAACGAAATGAAATTTTGAAGATGTTATGTCTTCATCATAAAGGTATGGATGAAAACTAATTAGAACAAACAGTAAAAAACACTTCAGTCTTTTTGGTAAATCTAAATGCCTGAAAATGTGAAGTAAGAAAAAATCTACAGCTCAGACTGCTGATGGAGCTCTGACCACCCTATTTCTCGGATCCAACCAGCTAGGACTCACATTGCTCCCAAGTGCTTATAAACATCATTACCTTCTTCCACAGCAGGGTATGTTATTTCTAATATACCACGCAAATAATGGAAAACCCAAGTGCTTTATCAGCTGCTATTCGTGTCTGAAAATGCCCTCCCACAGACATCAGCCACTAAGCATCACTCATAGAAGCAGATCCCTTTGGTATTCTCTCCATTACATGTGGAATATTTTATGGCTCTTGAGGAAAAACTGTTGTGCTTGAACTTGAGCTTGACTCGGGGTTATAGATCCTTCCTAATCCCTGCTGCCAGTCATTTTTACAGAGCGTTCTGCCCCTGAAGGGGTAGGGTCAGTGACTCACAGTCGAGGAGAGGCCTTATCTGTAATGACCTTGTTGTACTAAAATATTTACTTAGTTATCAGGTGGCAGCAATCCTATATTATACAGGCTTGCAAAGTCATTATGAGTATTGGGTAGGTGAGACGAGAGTTGGTTATCTATGATAAATTGCCTTGCTGAGAGAAATTACATTTTCTCTCGCTCTGTTTCAGTATCTTAATCTACCAGTGGTGATAGTGTTGGGCTGGGAAGTACTAATAGCTGCTATCAGGTGAGTCATTAATCTCAAGGTCTTCAGATTTATCGGTGGCCGTGCCAAGAGCTTTTCAGACTGCAGAGCTTGTTGCCTGTGTGTTGTGTTAAGGTGGAAAGCAGATAAAGATAACAGTACGTATGCTTTTCTGAAGGAGCGGACAGTTTGGAGAATGTGATTTTCATGGCAAGGATTCCTGAGTGATGACCTAACTTTCTGCAGTTTGGTCACACTTTATTTTTAACAAATAAACAAAGTAAAGAAGTAACGTTACCTAATTGATTCCCCGTTTTTCACTATCATGGAAGGAATCTGGAGAGATCCCAGATGATGCTGGACTTTCACCCTTGGGCAGTATGACCTCCAAGGAAGCAAAGCATTACTTTGTTTATTTACTTGTTTGACTTCAGGGAGACCAGACTACAGCCCATCAGTCCAGGCAGTTTTATGGAATGGTTTATGTTGGAAAGCCTTGCAACTGCTGCTGGCTTTATCACACAGAGTGTAACCAATCCGCAGACTTTTCTAGGTCAGGTGGATGTTCTGTGTTTGTAAGATCAGTGTTACTGTGTTCCTCCCTTATCACTCCTTACCTCTGCTAAGGTGAATCCTAAGAGCTTGGTTGCACTTTTTACAGCTGCTTGACTCTCAGAGTCCCTTGGAAGGATTCTCTTTGTTAATCCATGTGCTGCAACATGAACCTGGCACAAAAGAGGTATTATTCCATATTTAATTTCACATTTCAGCAACAACAACAGCAACAAAAACCAACATGTACTATTCGTAGCCTTTTCCAATAGTAGGACAACATCAAATCAGCATCTGAGACAGATGTTGATAAGAACATTTGTCCAAAAGTCCAAATTTTGGGAACATCTTTATGGAAATTCCAAAAATTTTACAGTATAGAATAATATTTAAACACAAGTTTTATTTTCTGAACATGCACATATCTCTGCCAGACCTTGCAGCCTCCTAGTGGAAACTTTTTCCTGGAAAGAGAGAGTGACATGAACAAGGGTTTATTATCTGTGATGGTGACTGCAGCAGCAGGAAGAAGAGCCAACGTCATCTAACCCAGGGAAGCTATAATGAAGTCATCTGTGAAGTTCGGGGCAAAATTCTTCTGCTGTGGAGATGCTTAACCTGCCTTAACTGCTATGTCATT